CGGCCACACCTTTGGGGAAAACACGGTCGTGCCTAATGTTGGACACGACCGTGTTTTGAGTCAGTTCCGCCCGTGTTTTGGGCCAGTGTTGGACAATTTTGGATCCAGTCTCGGCAGTAAAAACACGGTCCAAGAACACGGCCGTGTTTTGATTTAGGCGCGCCCGTGCTTTGGCTCCAGCTCGTCCGAATGACTTCCGAATGCCCCGAAACTCGTGCTTAGCCTTTCCTTCGACGTCTGGGACCTGAAATATGACAAAGTAGCAACCCGGCATAAAATAGGCAAAAAATACACGACTATGCCCCACAAACGGATAAGAACTATGGGTGCAAACATGCGCAATTACATCGTTATCAAATTCCCCCACACTTAACCGTTTGCTTGTCCCCAAGCAAACCAAGTCAGACACAAGGTAAGCTCAAAACGTTTCAATCAAGCAGGCTTTAGGGCATACCATATCGGCACAAAACACGTGGATCATACTGGGTTTTGATCATTAACACATGGACAACCTCAACGACAACCTAGACAACCACCACAGATGACATTCGAATGCAGTAAAGTCGAGCAAAAGAAGAGTCTCTCTTCTGTTCACCAACCAACATAGACTTGACCCAACCACTTATTCAAAACAGTCACTTCATGCATAAAACTCAAGATATCAGAATTAAGACCGAGCAATCTAGGTCCTCACCGGGATAAAGAGTATAGAGAATATGAGAAAAATGAATCGCTCACTCTCGACCAGTGGGGTCAGGACAATTTGATGCGAAAAAATGCGCATGCTTATTCCCTCAATCCCTAACGTCTCTTCATCATGAAGGCAGCCTCTAAATGCTAGAGTTCACATATGAGGTGTCACCACTAACTAATCCGGAGGTCTTAGACACAGGTTCAGATGACTGGCTAGGGTCTTGGACATGGGGAAAATGCCTTTTAGGTGGTGGAAGTATTCATAGCACAAGGTTCCACAATTCCAAACCCAACACACTCACAGTCAATCAAACCACTCTTTCTTTCTGCCATTCTGCATTACTCACTTTCTTTAAAGCACAAGAGCGAATGAGGTAACAAAAAACGTAGTATTTCCAAGCCACACTGCTAAGAAACACTAGTCCATGGGCGCTATTCAGATTTTGTGGTGGTGACTCTCTTTTGTTTTCATTCACATATTTTTTGTTTTCATTTCTTGAGAGAACCACCACCTATGCAGTTTTTTGCAAACACATGCCCTTTTTATTTTCAAGAACTACCTCCAACTCTCACATTACATTTAGCAGAAACAGTAGAAA